GGTGGGAGGTTGGGGGAACCAGGTGGTGGGTATTGGAGAGGGCACGGATTGCATGGAGCACTGGGTATGGTGCAAAAACAATGAATACTGTTACACTGAAAATAAATTAAAAAATTTAAAAAAAATTAAAAAATTAAAATAACAGCAACAACAAAAGAACTCTTCTTACCATTTTCATGTCAGACCTCACATTAGGACAATTTATTTATAGCTATAAAAATCAGAGAAAATGCTACTTTACACTTGTTATAAATTCAGATCTGGAGTTTTCATAGTAGATATGTTTTTCCATTTAGTGAACTAAATGCATCTCTTTATTTAGCTCATTTTAGAGTACCAGATGAAAATCTAATGCTTGTGAGTCAAGATTCAGTGTCAAAGCCTCAAGTGCAAGTAGAGAAAAAAATAACTCACAAAAGGGAAAGACGCCATAGTAAGTGTAATAATTATGAATAAATTTAAAGTATTTTAAACCCATCAAGATTTTTTCCTTTTATTCAAGCATATATATTATAGAAATTATACACTCTAACCCTAAAGTGTGAATGTGCAAAGATAACCAGAAAACAAAAGCAAAAGCTTTAATACCTTCAGATTGGAATTTCTAATCACAGCCATAGGACACTCACTCAGTATCTACCAAGGCCCAATAACTGCCCAATAGTATCTCAAAGTATCTTTCAGCTGACTCTGGGAGAGTATAGGTTCCAGGAGATTATGACCAATGGTCACTTCTGCCTTATGACTTCACTTCTGACACTTCAGCAGTGACCTTCTGACATATGCTCCAGTTGAGAAAAGTGAGAGGTTTAGTTGGGCCCCACACTATTTTTCACTGATTGCTGCAAGGTATGGAGTTAATTAATTCAGACAATAAACTAAGTTGAAAGTAACAATTACATTCTTATTCACTTGCTGTGACGATATAAGCAAAAGTAAATATAAAATGGTACCAGTCTTTTATATTTCAACCAGCCAATATTTCAACCAGTGTTTCATTTTCCCATGAAATGACATCAGGCAAGCATCAGATGTATCAATGCAGAGGGGTGAGAAATATCTTATTGTGTCTTACACATACACACATATATACATATATGTATGTACCACTATCTACCAGTATAGTAGTACTCATGTTATACCAATTCTGTACTTGTATAGATATCAATTTATTTGTCCAATACCCTATGCTTTAACATTTAGGTGGCTTTAAGTGTTTTGCAATTACAAATAAGGCTGTAATGAATAAACTTTTGCATGTAAGTTTTCATTGCTTGCTCTATTATTGTGTATCAGCCTGAAGAATAAATCACCCATGAAACCTGAAGACTAATATAAGATCTATTTGTTGCTTAGGCATATTTATGAAATAATAAGATAATTTCAAACAGTTTTCATTTCATAACAGTTCTAACATTATAATTTACTTAATGATTTTATGAAAATGAAAAAAATGATACTATACACTTGTTATAAATTTGAAATCTAGAGATTTTACAATGGATTTGATTTTCCATTTAAAGGACTAAATCTATCTCTTTATATAGCTTATTTTGGTGCACCAGATGAAAATCCAGATGTAAATCCAGAGTCATCATCAAAATTCCAAGTGAAAGTAAAGAAAGAAATAACTTCCAAAGAGGGGAGACGCAAAAGTAAGTATAGTAATTTAAATTTAAATTATTTTAAATTAACCTCATCAGAAGATTTCTTTTGGTTCATATTTATGTATGTATTTGAACACATGTTTTATAGAAACTTTACACTAAGATTTTTTTTTTTTTTGAAAGGGATCACAAGTAGGCAGAGAAGCAGGCAGAGCGGGTGGGGGAAGCAGGCCCCCTGCTGAGCAGAGAGCCAGATGTGGGGCTCTATCCTAGGACCCTGAGATCATGACCTGAGCTGAAGGCAGAGGCTTAACCCACTAAGCCACCCAGGCGCCACTACACTCAGCTTTAAAGTGTGAATATCCTAAGATAAAGACAAAAACAAAATTAATAACTTTTGGCTGGTATTTTCATGGTCAGTAATTATTAAGTACTATGATAGCTTCTCCACACAGACTAATGAAAATTGTTCACATAATTTTTTTCACTTCACTTCCATAGGAAGAAAATTTGATAATTTTTTGGCATATCTAGAAGTTCCATTACATTTTTTTTTTATTTATTTAGCATTTCCTCTTGAAAAGCAAAAAAATTATATGATATCACATGAAAACCTATTTCCTGAGAAGAAAGTTTTATTTTCAAGAAGCCAGTTTCAAACTAAGAATGAAGCTACCAGAAACATGAATCTTGATAGTAAGTAATTAAATATAAATCTTATGAATTATTTTTAATTAAATTCAGAGGAACACTGTTTTGGGTTTAGAATACATCTTCAACAATATGTTCTTTGGTAATTAGTCCCATCAACACTTTATATCTTTATTGATGATTTATCTGTTTGTTTTATAATTATTGAATTAGATGTGTTAAATCTCAAACTGAAATTCTCTTTTTCTTGTAGTTGTGGTTATGATTTATATCTTATGATACTCCATTATTTATGGCATACAGGTTTAAGATTGATAATGTTCTTGGAGGACAGATCATTTTGTCTTAATGAAAAGACCCACTTTATCATTTTATAGTTTTTGTTTATTTTCTTTTAAAACTACTTTTCTACTATTAATGTAGCTCCACAAACTTCTGGTTGATATTTATATCATATATTTTTTTTCTATCCTGTTTCTTGTATCTATGATTTTGCTATATCTCTTGTAAGAAAATTAGAGTTGCATATATTTTAAATGCAGCTTGATCCTTATCTTTTTATTAAATTGCGATCATATATAATCTAGTTATTTGTATTTTTAGGAGTAATTACACCATTTAATTTTGTTTCTTCTTATTTTTCTTTCACTTGTTCACTTTCTGTATTTTTTATCCATATATATATATATATACACTTAGCTATATATGATCCAAAAAATTAGACTTTATTCTAAAGTGTGAATACTCTAAGAAACTAAAGAATAATATTAAATATGTAAATATAATATTTATAATAATGTCTCTAAATATTTATAATTTTTCTGCATATCTGAAAAGTAACAAGACTGTTTATATACATACCAGTAAAAAATGTACTCACATGATGTTTCTATTTCAACTTAAATCATGCTTATGTCATTAAAAAATGATATAATGTATTATTGGATAATTAATATATTTTATAAATCCAGATGTTCCACCAACAGATCTCGTTCTCTATTTAGTGCTTTTATAAGTCTTTCTTCTTGAAGCCCAGAAAATATATTTTATCAGATGGAAATTTTTGGCCTATTAAGTCAAATTTTTATTGTGTCATTTAAACTTCCTATTTTTTTATTTCCTTGGATTTTGTTTGTCCTATCAGTTATGGAGAGATGTGTATTGAATCATCTCACAATGATTGTGGACTTATCTGTTTCTTCCTGTAGTACTGTATATTTCATTAAACTGCTCATTTTCTTTATACTGACTATGTAGTTAGGTGCATAAAAATACAAATGTTAGATAATTCCTTAAAGACTCAATGATTTCTTCTTATGAAAGGTGCCATTTTAGCCAGTCTCCAGTAAGGTCTTTTGACTAAAATCCTACTTAGACTGTCATTGACATAAATATTTGCATACTTATTTTGGTTGGTATGTACATGGTAAATCTTTTTTCACCTACTTAGTTTCCAGTTTTTTGCATTCTTATTATTTAGTAGTGTCATTTATAAATAACCTATAAGTAAATTATTTATAAATCTAGTGTAACTCTGTCTATCCTTATAACATATAATCCATTTATAATTATTGTACTAACTGATATATTTGGATTTAAATATTCCTTTTTTGTAGTGCTTTATATTTTTCCTACCTGATCTAGATTTCTATTTCATTTCCCTATTTTAGAATTATTCTAATCAGTCTAACTTTATTTTTTTAAATACTTATTTATATATTTGAGAGAGCGAGCACACAAGTGTAGGGAGTGGGGGAAGAGACAGAGAGAGAGGCGAGAGAGAATCTCAGGCAGACTCCCCACTGAGAATGGAGCCCAAAAGAGGGCTAGACTCCAAGGATCCCGTAAGATCATGATTCGAGCCAAAATCAGGAGTCAGGTGCATAATAAACTGAGCTACCCAGATTCGCTTAATCAGTCTAACTTTAAAATGAGTCATATATGTTATAAAAATTTAAAGTATTTAAAAATAGTGAATACCCTTAAGACAATAAAGTTTAATAACAAATTTCTAAGTGTATGTATAAAGTAACAAGAGTAGCTTCACACACTTTAAGGAAAGCATTGTGATGATTTTTACATTTAGTTTTATAATCTGTTTTGAAAATGCACCAGAGGTTTTTGTTTTTGTTTTTGTTTTTTTGTTCATTTGTTTGTTTTGGTGGGGGTCGGGAAGTGTGTTAGATCATTTGTTTAAATTGTGTTTATTTGCTTAAATTTTGTAAAACTGGAAGGAAGCTTTAAGTGATTCTTTATTAATAATAGATTTCACTTTTACTTTTTATTGAATTAAAAGCCTCTATTTCTGTAGCTGAGAAAATGGATGAGAAAGCAGGTAAAAATCTTTCACCCGAAGATAATAAAGTTTTAATTTCAAAAGGCTCATCTCAAATTAAGACTCTTGGAGCTGCCAGCAAAGCAGGATTTAGTAGTAAGTATAATGATTAAAAATATTGTATAAGGATATTTAATTAAATTTCTCTCTCTAGTTCATGAGTATATATTCAATCATATAAACAAATGGTATATACTGTATCACATATACATATATGTACTTGTACATATATATATACCTACATTTATGTACATAATATACATACATGTATATGTTCACCATTTAGTCAAGTTGATTAATTATGTTTTTCATACTTTCTTAATTTAATTGAAGTTATATATTTATCATTTGTGAGGAATGTATATTAAATACAACAACAGTGATTGTTTATTTCTCTATTAGTCTTTGTAGTTCTGTCATTGTTTTATGTTTCTAAAACTTTTTACTATATATAGTATATAATGAATACACAGATTTTAAAATGTCATATGTTCTTACAGAATTGAAATTTCTGCCTATGTGTAGAAGATTTTGTAGAAAATCTTTGTGTGCTTTTAGTTGATTTTATCTGATATTAACATAGTGTCTTTAATGTAATTATTTGCATAAAATAATTTTTTCATCATTCTGCTCAATCTTTACATATTGCTATGAATTGGTTGTGTAAATTCAAAATAAAAGGCATTGTGATTTATTATTTTTTTAATCCAATGTAAGAATCTTTGTTCTTGGAGCATCATTTGTTGTTTTCAGTGTTTTGAATTTTAGCCATTCTCATAGCTGTGTAACAGTACCTCATTTTTTTTAAAATTTATTTTCAGCGTAACAGTATTCATTGTTTTTGCACCACACCCAGTGCTCCATGCAAGCCGTGCCCTCTCCAATACCCACCACCTGGTTCCCCCAACCTCCCACC